GCGTAATTTTTTTCTAACATATTAAACGTCATATTTTTATTCTTATTATTTAACATATTAAATTTTATATCATTTTAAATTTTTCAAATTTTTAAACATGTCTAATATATTATATTTGAATAACAAAAATTATAAATAATTATAAATTAATGTTCTTTTTGGTTATTGTAATATTTAAAAGCATAATCATCATTAATCTAAATAACTTTCAATTTACCAAACTAATTTTTAAAAAAATATATTCAAATACAAATTTTATTACAACAAATAACTTTTATTTTTAATTTTTGTTAAATAATTTTTTAACAACTAAAAACCAAACACATTTAGTTAGGGCTGTGCCTCTTTGTAATCATTGCATTGCATTATTTCACTAGAACTATGCATGCATGTATACATACATACATACATACATATATACAATTTAATATAATACACCATTGGGTGATATATAAAACTAAAAATCATATATAAAATTTGAAATAAATGATTAAATAGCAAGTGAATTATGGGAAACAACGGGTTTTGGACTTGGGGGCTTCTAACATGCCTCCAGCTATTACTTTTTGTAATGTCCCATCCTTTAATTTTTGTTTTTTCTTATGATAACTAGTTCTATATAAAATAAAAAAATATTTTGACAGGAAAATAATAATTTTTTTATTTTTTATAATTTTTTAAAGAAAAAAATATCACAACCATACAATTTTATGGTATTTTCCAGAAAAATTATATATAAAAAAAGCATAGTTTCAAAATAGAAATAGACTAAAATCCCTCTCTTTTTAATATGCTTATTTGACTAAATGAAATTTCATATTGCCGAACTCAATTATGAGTTACTCTCCAGCAATATTTTTTACATTCACACAAATTCGAACTCGAAACCTTGTGTTTAAATGGCTATATATTCTTTCACCAAGATCAATAAATCTCTCATTTTATGTAAAAGTTAATGGTGAAAGGAAAGCATGGGAACAAAATTGAAAATAATGGAAGACGACGACAAAAATATTAGAAATATGAAGGTGTGGGAAGAGCGTTAAAAGCAGAAGGGGATGAAGATTAAGACAGAAACCAGCTGATTACGGTGCTTGGGGAGGAAGAAGACGTGTTTGACTGAACAAAGAAAGCAATGAAACAAGTGACAAGTTGAAAACATGGCAACGTTCAGAGAACTTGTAATTGATGGCCGTCGGCAACTTCACAAAAGCCATTTTTTCATGAGTTGGTGGTGACGGTGAGAGATCTCATTTAGTATATGTCGCCACTGACAACATGTGAGTAATTTGTAGCCATTATCCCAAGTGCCACCCCACCCACCCACGTGGCTATATCAACGGCTCTGATTCCTTTTAGCAAACACGCCAATGATGGTTCCACTCCAGACATTTTGTCAAACTCATAACTGCATTTTGAAAGCCATCTTGCGCAACTACGAACGCTTTTGGAAGTCTTCTGGTTCTCCTTTTATTTTATTTAATGATATTTTTTTTTTAATTTTCAATGTATCTCTACAGCTGACAACCATAACACTAATCCATCGAGAAATTTGCGCGTCATTTAAGTATTATTCATGTAAGCAAGCAATGTTTAAAAATTGGATTAAAAGTCTCAATTTTCATGATTCAACCAATAGTTGAACCAATGAAGTAATGAATAAATTAAAATAAAATAAAATAATATTAAATTCATATAATATATTTAATAAATAAATTGAAAATATCTCTAGTTGTTAATAAAATAACACAACATAACTACAAATCAATAATTTATATGTTAATTTTATAATTGTCAAACATATGTGGGTTTTCTCAAGGGTTCAATTTTTAGATTTTTTAGCTTTTTTTTAATATATAATATATATATTAAGTTCAAACCGCCCATTTTATGTAAAAACCATTTTGGATTCCAGCTTAATTCTAGGTTCTAACTCAATGACAGATCAACCATGCAAACGATTTTCTAATTCAAATTGAACCTAACGAGTTTTTAGTGGACAGTCTGACTGTCGAGCATGGTTTGATACTTGAGTCTTAAAATGCTGCATATAAGTTTCATAGGAACAATCAAATCATATGCTTTTGTCTCTTTTCAGTCTTTTGTATGATATGAAAACGACACCGTTAATAGGACTCTCCACTCGCACGGCTATTCACCAATGACACTTCAGGCCGTGGGCCAAAGTTAACAGGCCGGCCCAAAATAGCCAACTTCACCATAAGGTTCAGAGACGTGAGATCCACAATCCATATCCATCTGAAATCCTACCCAAACAATGTAATGAAAACAGGGAAAAAAAGAGTAAGAGGTCATCCATTGTTCGGGCCCGATAGTTTTGTTTTGGAAGTGCTTGGTAATATCGCATGCAGCATAATTGTACCAAAAACTTGTTCAAAAAGTTAAAAAAAAAAAGAATTTCACTTTAAATAGTTCTATGTACTTCTCAATATAAATTTTGGAATCCACGTCAAACTCATGGATTATATTTAAAGTCATGTTAATTCCATTATAAAATATTGTTTAACATGTCTCAATTTAAAACTAATTTAAATAAATAAATACATGATCATCAGTTGAACGAATTTGTTAAATTAAGCGAAACCATTGAATTAAGTTATGGAAATTTGGTTGGCAAAAAAAAAAAAAAGTTGTGGACATTTGGATAAGGATGATGACAGTTTTGCTCCCGCTCCCACTCAACCGCCGAAATTATAGTCAAGTTTAAATTCAAGAGAATAATATATCATATCTATGTACAACATTTATGTCCCAAAATAATTATAACTAGTTAGATTGACAGTAAAAAAATATATTTTTATTTTAATATAGATCTGTTAAAGATTAGAAACAAAAATAATAATAATATCAATCTGAAATATCAAGTTTTAATTCCAAAAGTTCAAATTTAATTCTCATCAATTTTTGACTAGTATATATTAATCATGTAAAACTATTCTAATTTAAAAATGTTTATGGGACGAGATGGGATTAAAGTAGTCTTATCCTATATCCCGTTGTAAAAAAAAAAAAAAAAAAAATTGCCTAATGTTGAGACCAGAAAAGCCTACTTAAAAAAGAGCGGAAGAGAGAATTGAAAATGTAAAAAGTCTGAATAATTGAGTACAATTTTTCTGCTTGAAACAAACAAATCACAAAAGGTGCAATACAACTATTACAACAACACAAGGGACAAAAAACAAAAAAAAAGAGTCATAACTCAGAAAATTCAACACATACTTTTTTAATTCTAGGTACTGTAATAACATATCTCAGATTTTCACTTCGGGTCTGTTTTCGCTCACGATCCCTTGGTGCTTATCAGTTGCTACACACTTTTAGATTTTTTTTTGAATTTATATTTATATTTATTAAAAAATTATATATTTTATTTTCAATTTAGATAATACATATTTAATTTGAATCGCTCAATTTAATATGAATAATTTTAATAGTTTTCATAAATTGATTATCTGGATATAAGTTTTATGGGTTCAAGTTAAAAAAAAATCAAATAATATGAAAAGTACATATGAGTTCAATAAATTCATCATGGTTTGCGGGATTAATTTTTCAAAAACTTTAGGTCAGCATATCATAATTTTATGTGACACACTTGTAAATTTTAAAAAAGCTGAGATATTGCATTTGCCAACCCTCAACTTACGTGGCTGTCATTAGTTTTTTTTTTTTTTTTTAACTATTCAATGTCTGTTTTCACTTTTCAGTTTTCATTTTCTTTTTCTTTTATTTTTGCTGTAGTTCTTAATCATTCTGATCAAATTTTCAATGTCCAAATTGTTTTAATTTTATTTTAATAATAATTTTTATAAAACATCAAATCTAAATCTCGTAAAGTTAATTTGATAATGAATGAGCTCTCAATTTTTGGGCTGGAAAACAATATCAAATTATCAATGAAGACATGTTTTGGGCTTACGAAATTATAAATATTTAAGATAAACATCATTTATCTTCAATCAATAGCACACTAAACTTTAAAAAATAAAAGGTAGAAATAAGTATAAAAAAAACACACACACACACACACACACACACACACATATTTGCATAATTTAATGATAGAAGGGATGCGTGGCGGTGATGAAAGTATATATAATGGTAAATGGACCCTCCAAATTAGAACTTGAAGAGAATACAATGCATCTTGGCCAATCATACAAGTCTCCCATGAACTAAGCTTCAGGCACGTAGGACCAACACAGCTTTCTAGCCAAATTATATAAAACATATCGTTCAAAATCAGATTATGTTTCACTTGTACTTTCACAGCCAAACAGGATCGTTATCATTAATCAGCAATATCAATTTCAGAAATCCCTATGTCTTTAAAATTATGTCTTCAATGTGTGTACATGTTTCAATGAGTTGAAGTTCAAGTGAATTAAGTCTTGTAAACTCGTTGAAATCAAGAGAAGTCTTATGACATGTAAAATATTTATAGAGATATTTATAAATCATTTTCCAATAAAAAGTCCTTGCTTCATTACAAGAATCAAACTCGTCACATCCTTGCGCAATGTGAGCCAACTTCTTACTAATTGAGTCACGCTTGTTCTTGTAGGTTCAATTATATATAACACAAAGTTCTAAAGTCATAATATTCTATTACGTTGTTTAAACATGAGTGGATTTAAGTTGATATGAGAAGTTTCATATCAAATAAACTTAAATTTAATAACTAATATCTAATAATATAGAACGACCCACAAACATGAGCAGTTTTAAATCAAGATGTGATGTTGTTTCACTGCTTTTCATCTATTTGTCCTCTCCCCTGCAGTCCTATCATATATGAAGGTTTCTACAGGTTCAACTGCATTCCATGTATCTAACTGGTTAGACAACATGATTGATATATCAACTATCAAAGTCTATAAAAAGGAATTGATGGGGGATGAAAACTGAGAATCAAGGAAGGACTTTTTTAACAGAGTAATCTTCTCTCTTCTCCCACCTTGACCAATCAAGGGTCCGTCATGCCTTTCTCCAATGGCAGCCGATTGGATCAAGGACTTAAGCTTCCACTGATTCAGTCACCAGACAGCTTTGGACAGAAGTTATCTTCCCCACATTCTGCAGATTCTCCAGAAATGAGTAAGGTTGAGAAAAACATCTTCCGCTTTAGAAAACTTGCTTTTTTAAGTTCATCGCTTGATAACTTGAAGCACAAGTTCTTTCATTATATTGTTTGCAATTAACAGAAAGCAGTTGGATTCAAAAGGAAGAGAAACAATAACAGGATTGAAGAGAAGCAGAAAGAAGTAGTCCATGTCAGGGCAAAAAGAGGTCAAGCTACTGATAGTCACAGTTTAGCAGAACGGGTACGAGTACAAAAATCAAACCCCTTTACATATAAATATATAAAGCCACTCAGAGTTGACATAATTCTTTTTTTTTTTAATTAAATTTCAGGTGAGAAGAGAGAAGATCAATGAAAAGCTAAGATGCTTGCAGGACTTGGTTCCAGGATGTTACAAGGTTAATTGATCAGAATAGTCCTTGATGCAATGTTTATTCAGAATAGTCTTTGATGTCATTTTTATGAATTTGCAGGCAATGGGAATGGCAGTTATGTTAGATGTGATCATAAACTACGTTCTGTCACTACAGCAACAGATTGAGGTGATTATGATGATGGTGGTATTATTCATTATTTTTCCCGTTTTGGTTATCAAATATGTCCTGACTTGCTGATATTTAAATTTCTCATTCTTTTCTTGGAAAAGTTTCTCTCCATGAAGCTCTCAGCAGCAAGCATGTGTTTTGATTTCAACACCTACGAGATGAATACCATCCAAACCATGCAGGTACACTTTAATGTCATCTGTGTTCTGTGCTTGTTTGACGTGTTTATATATATATATATATATATATAAGTTTTTCTACACACGCTCATGAGAGGCTTGTGTGTTGCAGAGAAGTCCTAGCACAGATAGAATCCAAGGGATGGAAAGGATGGAAGGAGAAGGTTATCAAGGCTTTGCTTATTGGAACCCTACATGGCCACTTCAGTAGAAGAAGAAGAAAGTCTTTGTTTCTGTTGGAAGTATCCTTTCTTTCATACACATAAATTAGTTGGATTACTGTTAAGATGAAACTCTGTAAAACAAATATTGCATTGCAGGTAATAGCGAACTATACTTGTTAAGAATGGGGAGTGGTTGCTTGCATACATGTTGATATTCTGCTATCAGTATGTTCAAGCTCGGAAATGTACTTTTCATATCCATGAATTTATAATTAAAAAGTGGGCTAAGTTCATCTCAGAACTCTCTGAATGATAGTGACAGTTTACTGCAGCAGCATTTTTTACTACAGTTAAGTTAATGAAATATGGTTCACAATAAGAGAAGGCTTAACAAATAAGCCAAATAGAAGAGTCCAATTTGCAGAAACAGTTACTACATAGATAAGTCCCATTAATTTGCCAAGCTCATAACACTTGACATTGACAAATGAAGATGAAATATCTATGTGTCTACAATGTCGGTGGTCATGACCTGGGTTCACTGAAATTGAGTTAGATCCATGATAGTTAGTAACATATTAGGATGTGATTCGTGTAATGTGATAGATCAAGTTTGTGGGATTAATAAATAAAGAGAGTGAAAGGGGCAAGTACAATGGATTGTTCATCAAAAATTGGATGGACTAACGTCTTTAAATGCTGAAGACAGCTTCAACAGATTGAGATGCTTCATAAAGATACAACAAACAAGAAAATGTGATGGATTTTGCGCGCGGGACAGCAAGACCACCTGATGGGAAGAAATAGAAAAAAAAATAATTAAAAATATTACAAGGATATTACAGATTTGAAGATATTTTTCTCTCATATTAATTATACATATTTTGTTTTAATTTGAATTATTGTTATCTTTCAACATCTATTATTATCTTTTCATTTATTATTATCTTTTTATTTAATTTTAGAATTTCTAGTATTTTCATGTGTTTATTTCTAAGGTTGGGTTAAAGCTTATAAATAGCACCTCAACTCATTTGGTTTGCACGCACATTTGATTGAAGAAGAGTTACTGTTATCTTGCCTCTCCTCTGAGTTTTCACGTCTCTCTTTTCCCTTTATCGATTCCTTTCTTTTTTTTTCTATATTCTCTCCTTCTTTTCCTTCCTTATTCTGCATCACCACCTTAGTGTTATATGTACATGAATGCATATAATAATAGAAAAATCACATCCAGCCTCCCCTCAAGGAAATGAATCACAAATAAAAACCAATGCAAAACGAATTGTTAAAATAAGAACATGACTTGTTTTTTCTTTAATATAATTTGTTGGTCTTTATCTGTAATTAATTTTCTTGAGAGAGCGTTGGACGTGATTTTCCCTATAATAATTATCTTGACAAGTTGATAAGTACGAACAATAATGCTGATCTTAGTTGTTACTTGGCAAGAGAATCTGTTGCTTCATCCCACTCAATCTTCTCTCATTGAACTTAAGTTTACATCACTCGCCTTCTCATTTCATCATTGCCATTATGGAATTTCTGGATTACAAGAAATCTGTAGCTGGAAGTCGATCATATGGATAACTCAAACAATGACTATATACTCTAGAGATCATTTTTGTCAATAAGTTATGATTTCTCTGAATATTCTCAAAGGAAAGATGAATTTAAGTTTAATGTATCAAACCAAACTACGTTAGCATTTCATCTATTTACAAGGACACTTTTGTGTGTGTTTGGATAAGGGAAAAATTAATTTTCAGCAAATTACCCAAATAGTTAAAAAAGGACAAAAATTGATTCTGAGGCAACACGCGTATTTTCCCATAAGCTCCTTCCACCAGCTTTCAACAGAAATTTATCAAAAAATGTTGGAGAAATTACAAAGAAAGCCCACAAAAAAATTACAAATAAAGCTCTAATCAATCAAGTTGAATTCCATCAACATAACAAATTCAAACATTTGAACCCTCAATCTCTACTTTTAAATTGCCCAACCTTCACTTTACAAGAGGTGGAGCCTAACTATTAGGTTTAATAGTTACCTTTAGCCCCTAATAGCATTAATGAGCCATTAAATCCCCATTAATGGCATCACAAATTTTCAATCACCCATAATAAATGAGATTTTCAGACATTAATGGTACCTAACAACTCAAGACACCAAAACTCATTATACCTAGGCTTAGATACTCTAATCTACCCTTATTAACTCCATTTAAGTCAACAAATTCAGACCCATAACCTATATGGATCGAAATCCCACTTCTACTATCAAACCCTAACCATAAACTCATAAATGTGGAAGAAATGGGGAGATTAATGAGTATAATACTTACCTTAGGTGTTTGTAGCTTTCAAAATACTCTCAAAGTAGTCCCCAAGTAAACCCTAGCAGAGCATTGGCACGCCTCTTCTTTCTCTCTTTTCTTTCTTTTTCTATCTCATTTCGATCTGATAAAGTGCAGAAAATGGCCATGCGCTGCGGCAGACGCACGACACGCTGCGGCGCATGGCACATAGAGGTCCTCCCTCACTTAGAGATGGCTATGCACCACAGCAGACGATCTACGTGCCATGACGTGTGGCACAACAACTTTAACTCTTCCTTTTCTTCTCCTTTTGATGCCCGGGTGACCTGTCCCGATACCGGATACAACTAGGGCTGAAATAGCATCAAACGTGATTATTAGACCTCTCTAGCCACACACCACTTCAATTTAATTAATTACCTTAATTAAGTTTAATTAATCAAGCAATTAAAACTGAGATGTTACAAGGGGCCTCCTGAAGAAGATTGGTTTAGACTAGACACTAATGGCTCCATTAACCACTATAATATTGTGGCTTCTGGAGGTATCAACTGTGATAGTAAAGGAAATTCAATAAAGGACTTCTCTAAATTTCTTGTTTAATTACTATCCTAACACTGAGTTTGAGCTTTTAGGTATCCTTGAAAGCCTTATCCTTTGTTGGAATACCAAAATTCATAAAGTCAATGTTTGGACCGACTCTCTTCAGGTTCTCGAGCTCATGAACAACAATCTCTCTTTGAATCATCCCCTCTAAGACACAACCAAGGAAATCAGAATTCTCGTTATATATGCAAAACTGGACTACTGCCTTCAGCCATGTTTTCATAGATGCTAATAAATGTGCAAACTAGCTAGCTCATCAAGCGTCTCACAACTATCATGATATCACTAGTTTTGACTTTACACCTTTAAGGTGTAAAAATTTATTAATTTCTGACATGTCTTAATTTTGTTGTCTCCTTGCACAGTTTTCACTAGCCATCAATTTAAAAGAAAAATAAAATGCTTATTGAAATATTGATAGATTATCCTAGAATACCATGATCTAATTGACTCTTTTGAGATTCTTGTACTCATTAATAATGACTTTTCTTTGAATCATCCATTCTTCAATACAATAAAAAAAATTAGAGATTTCATTATGCAAAACTAGATTGTTATATACCTTCAACTATACTTTCGAAGATGCTAATACATGCACAGACTTACTAACTTGTCAGATGTTTCATGACTCTCACAATGTCACTATGTTGGAGTTTCCATGCATCTTTAGCGTATAAAAGCTTGTTAATCTCTAACAAGACTTCATTTTGTTGTCTCCTTGCGTGATTTTCATTGGCCATATATCAATTTTTTTTTTTAAATTTTGACAACACAAGCTAAGAATGCCTCCACTTTCGTTTCCTTTCTTCATCAGCTCCGTCTCTTCATTCCCTCGTTCCTTCTCTGTTCCTTCCCACGCTTCCTCTTCAAGTAGCCATGCTATTCAAATTTCATCACATAACAGGTTACCGCCTATTTATTTATTTATTTATTTGTGTTTTTTATCCTTTTATTTTCTCTTATTTGATCAGTTCTTAAACTTTTCTAATGCATTTTTTTGCGAAGGGCCTCAAATTTAATTTCACCGCACACCATACACGCATATGTAGTTGGCTTGCTTCTTGCTTTGGTGGAAATAAAGTACCAAGGATCCATCAACAACCCTTTCCATGACCACCCTTCCATCATGCCGCTTTTCCTCATCACACAATTTGTCTACGTCATTTCCCTCTTCACCTTTCAATTTGATCGACTCAATGAACGCTCACGCGATTTTAACATTGTGGTTTGCCATGTTTTTGGAACTCTGGCCTGCCAGCTGCTCCTCGTCTCTCCAGTCAAGTGGTTCCTCGTCAACGCGTCTTCGCTGGTACTGGTCGTGGCTACATTCTTGTGTTACAGTTATCTCTTGCGTCTCCTCAACAATGCTTCCCAAACACAAAGGTTGGAGATTGATCGCAATGGAGATGGACAGGCTACTGAGATGGTGGATGTGGAAGTTGAAGTGACTTCCTCTTCTTGATTTTGCATCCAAAAGAGAATAACAATAAAGTCATGTAGTACCATTTCTTGGTAGGTAACACTTGTTTGTAGCGTGGCATATATACCTCTGTAACGAACAGGGGGTTTTTATTGTGTGGACTAGTCGATCAGGGGTTCATAAGTGAATGGAATTCAGCAATGGTCCGATTGGGTCGAAAAAGGCCTAGCTAGTGGTTTTTTTTTTTTAAATTGATATTTCGTAGTAAAAAAATAATCGTCCAGATAGACCCTCACGCCCACCAGACTTGTCAATCTCCAATTTGCTCTCGATCAACCAAAGAACTAATGTGGCAGAAATAACTAACAAAATTATGGATTCAAATCCTATAAGAATTTTATTAGTTGGCAATCTATAAATGCTCTTCGAATTTGAAGACATACTTTGAACTTAATAAGCTTTGGAACCCAATTTACATAAACTTTTTATTTAAAAAAATTATGGTAAAAACTAAATATGGTAAACGTTGAATGCTCAAGATTTATTAAGCTTTTGTTTGGGATAGAAAGGAAATAGAAAAGAGAGAAAACTAGAGGAAAAAGACTTTTTTCTACCTTTGCTTTTTTTTTTCCCGCCTTATTTTTCTTTATAGAATGGGACAACTAAAGGAAAAATTTTATGCGAGGAAGGGAGAAGAGACTTGATGTAGATCAATACTAAAAACTGTAAGTTGTATTGCCAATTTTGAATCTTCACCCCTTAGTGACTTGTTAGGGTACAGAATCAAGTTCTATTTACTTCTATTTTTCTCTCATAGTCTTCTCTCTTTCCTATTTCCCTCTCATTTCATTTCAAAAGAAAGGTAAGGAATCTTTCCAATACTAAAATAAACTAATTCAAGGCTATAAATACAAATAATGACCGCTTTTCAATCTTGTTGGACAAGACATTGACTTGTTCTAATCATTTTAAGTTTATAAATACTAATGTAAGGTTGAGAAAAACATCTTCCGCTTTAGAAAACTTGCTTTTTTAAGTTCATCGCTTGATAACTTGAAGCACAAGTTCTTTCATTATATTGTTTGCAATTAACAGAAAGCAGTTGGATTCAAAAGGAAGAGAAACAATAACAGGATTGAAGAGAAGCAGAAAGAAGTAATCCATGTCAGGGCAAAAAGAGGTCAAGCTACTGATAGTCACAGTTTAGCAGAACGGGTACAAGTTCAAAAATCAAACCCCCTTACATATAAATATATAAAGCCACTCAGATTTGAGATAATTCTTGTTTTTTTTTTTAACATTAAATTTCAGGTGAGAAGAGAGAAGATCAATGAAAAGCTAAGATGCTTGCAGGACTTGGTTCCAGGATGTTACAAGGTTAATTGATCAGAACGGTCTTTGATGTTATGTTTGTTCAGCATAGTCGTTGATGTCATTTTTATGAATTTGCAGGCAATGGGAATGGCAGTTATGTTAGATGTGATCATAAACTACGTTCTGTCACTACAGCAACAGATTGAGGTGATTATGATGATGGTGGTATTATTCATTATTTTTCCCATTTTGGTTATCAAATATTTCCTGACTTGCTGATATTTAAATTTCTCATTCTTTTCTTAAAAAGTTTCTCTCCATAAAGCTCTCAGCGGCAAGCATGTGTTTTGATTTCAACACCTACGAGATGAATACCATCCAAACCATGCAGGTACACTTTAATGTCACCTGTGTTCTGTGCTTGTTTGACATGCGTTTCATATATAAATATATATATATTAGTTTTTCTACACACGCTCATGAGAGGCTTGTGTGTTGCAGAGAAGTCCTAGCACAGATGGAATCCAAGGGATGGAAATGATGGAAGGAGAAGGTTATGGAGGCTTTGCTTATTGGAACCCTACATGGCCACTTCAGTAAGAAGAAGAAGAAGGAGAAGAGAAAGTCTTTGTTTCTGTTGAAAGCATCCCTTTTTTCATACACATAAATTAGTAGGATTACTGTAAGATGAAACTCCAAAGCAAATATTAATGAAAGCATTACAGGTACTAGTGAGCTATACTTGTTAGGAATGGGGAGTGGTCGCCCTAATACGTGTTCAAGCTCTGAAATGTACTTTTCATATTCATGAATTTATAATTAAAAAGTGGGCAAGTTCATCTTAGAACTCTCTGAATGATAGTGACAGTCTACTGCAGCAGCATTTTTTACTGCAATTAAGTTAATGAAATATGGTTCACAATAAGAGAAGGCTTAACAAATAAGCCAAATATAAGAGTCCAATTTGCAGAAACAGATACTACACAGACAAGTCCCATTAATTTGCCAAGCCCATATTACTGACATTGACAAATGGAGATGAAATATCTATGTGTCCACAAATCTACAATGTCGGTGGTCATGACCTGGGTTCACTGAAATTGAGTTAGATCTATGATAGTTAGTAACATATTGGGATGTGATTCGTGTAATGTCATAGATCAAGTATGTCGGATTAAATAAACAAAGAAGAGAGTGAAAAGGGATCGTACAATGGATTGTTCATCAAAAATTGGATGGACCAACGTCTTTAAATGCTAAAGACAGCTTCAACAGATTGAGATGCTTCATAAAGATACAACAAACAAGAAAATGTCATGCAGCATATGGATTTTGCGCGTGGGACAGCAAGACCACCTCAGTGTTATATGTCCATGAATGCATATAATAATAGGAAAAGTACATCCAACCCCCTTTCAAGAGAATTAATTATAGATAAGGATCAACAAGAAGTCTCATTCAAAAAAAAAAGTCATGTTCCCATTTTAATAACTATTCTTTTCGCATTAATCTTTATTTGTGATTAATTCTCCTAAGAGGGAGTTAACTATGATTTTGCCTATAATAATTATTTTGACAAGTTGATAAGTATGAACAATAATACTGATCTTAGTTGTTACTTGGCAAGAGAATCTGCTACTTCATCCCGCTCAATCTTCTCTTATTGAACTTAAGTTTACATCACTTGCCTTCTCATTTCATCATTTCCATTATGGATTTTCTGGATTATAAGAAATCTGTAGCTGGAAGTCGATCATATGGATAACTCACACAATGACTATATACTCTAGAGATCATTTTTGTTAAGAAGTTATGATTTCTTTGAATATTCTCAAAGGAAAGATGAATTTAAGTTTAATGTATCAAACCAAACCACGTTAGCATTTCATCTATCTACCAAAAAAAAAAAAAACACTTTAAAAAATTTTAAAGTTTTAACCTGTGTAGCTTTTTTTTCTTTTACTCTCAAAGAGTGCTTTTCACTTTCAAAAAGCCCAAAATTCTTTGGGTATCAAAGTTTAGCCAAAACAACTTTCTAGAAAGTGCATTTGGGAAAATAGAAGTGCATTTGGGAAAATAGGCGAATCATTTTGACAAACTAACTTTTTTTAAAAAAATATATTCAAATATAAATTTTATTATAATAATAACTTACTTTTATTTAGTGTTTTAAAAATCAAACCGAACAGTTCTTGGTTGAATCGGTTGTAACAACTCTTGTTATAATAATCAACCAGTTGAATTAGGAACCAACTCTTGGTCCTGTTAGGTTGAGCCTTCAAAACTGGGGAGTCGGTCAATGATTGAAAAAACTGGTTAAAAACCAAACCAATTCTCTTAAAAATCAGATTGAATTATTTAAAAATATAAAAAAGTTAATTTAAAAATTAATTAAAGCAAAAAAAGTCAAAAATAATTAATATTAATCATGTATTCATTAACAATATATCATTTTATCAAGCATTTATTAATATTTTTAAAAAAAATAAATATTTGCATATATTTTTTACTTAATTATGATATATAAATTAAAAATATATTAATTTAATGTTAATCGATTCAACTACAGTTGAATCAATTAACCGTGAACCAGTGGTTAGTCTGGTTCAATGATTAATTCAATTTTTAAAACCTTATTTTTATTAAATAAACTTTTAACAAGTTGACTTTTAACTCTTGAAAAACCAAAAGGGCCAAAATTTAGTTCTCTTTTGTATCATTTTAATTATTTTTTATTTTGTCCATGGCTTTTTGTTCAGTAACAATGTAACATTTCTAGCTTAGAAAGTTGAGATTTGATAAGGAAGCTGGGTACCGGGCAAAAAAGGGGTGATGGTTTTAATAATTTAAAATTATTACTAACTAGTTGATGTGAAGTTTGAAAAATAAAAAATTATAATATTTATGGCTTATGAAGAATACGGTTTATAATACCATGCAAGGGCCGAGATAGAGAAACACACACAAGAACGTGGATTGAAAAGTGCTTCTCATCATAGGATTCCACATTGTCGCTTGGTGTTTCAAGGTTGTTTGGTTAGTTTTGATTGACCAGTAGTTATGACTTTTGACTGTTTTCTCAAAATATCTCAACGAGATGGCAACGTCGAAGCGACATTTCAAAAAGATTTCTCAATTCGCATCACTCAAATTTCAATCTTTCCTCCTTAGATAAACAAATACCCTTATCCAGTTAACGCTGTCTAATAAAAGCACAACTTTACTAATTTTATTACAAATTGAATGTAGTGAAAGGGGATAATCTTTTTATAACATAATAAATTAATATTTAAATTTTTATTAAAAGAAATATTATATTTAAAGTTCAGTTGTGTCTAAAATAATATTGTCTTTAATAAAAAAAACGTGTGTAATAAAGAAAACAAGTACATTATTAAAAATGGAGAGTAATTGCTCGGAAATGATGGAGAAAACAAGTCTATCATTACATAACAGTTTTATTTTGAAACTCTAACATGTGTGCATGCAAGAGTAGCATAAAAATATTAAATCTTAATTCATAATTTTAAAGCTTAAGTTTATAAGTAATTTTCTTTTACTACATATTAATTATTAAACTTATATCAGTTCAAATTCACTTACATTTGTACAAACGAACATAAATTGTTGCTGGATTTTCTTCTAAAGAGTAAGTAATGCAGCACAAATTTATTTGGCAGTAAGCAAGCATGCTTCAGCATTGGTTTTGCTATGCCTTGATTTGAATGCGTAATGCTATGTGCCCCTCAGAGATGCACCGTAAAAGTTCTAAGCCGGTTTTATTCTTTTGGTCTAATGATATAATCTTGAATTTAAACAAGACCCTGTTGCTCTTCACTCATGTTTGACTGACCGGTGCGCTAAAAAAATCCAATTTTCCTGTTTCCCAACTACCAAATAGACGACAGATGCCTTCATTTAAACACACCTTTGCGAGTTGAGATTTTGGGGCTCTGATCAGCAAACTCAGAAAATGGAAGAAGATCATGGAGGGACAGGGAAGAAGGTGATGGTGGCCATAGATGAAAGTGATGACAGTTACTATGCACTCATTTGGTTGCTCAAAACTCTCAAGGAATCACTACGAAGCAAGCCCGTTTTACTCTTCATGGTTCAGCCTGCAATTGATAGCAACTACATTTTTTCAGCTTCCCTTGGCTCTGCTCGCCTCTACTCTTTACTTTCACCCAGTTGAGTTCTACAAAATTCCATCCACTTATTACTGTCATGGATTCTTCTCCTTTCTTTGTGTTTGTTCTTGTTTTTCTTGGTTGCTTTCTTGCTGATGAACCTGTGTTCTGCTAAACATGTAGGACCAGATTTTGTGAACTCATTCAAGGAGAATCAGGAAAAGCTTGCACTGGCTCTGTTGGAGAGAGCCAAGAGTATTTGTGCTAGTCATGGGGTACCTTATTATTATTATTTTTTTTTAATAATTCTTTGGGAATCTCTGAATTTATTTTTCTGAAATCTGAACCATGTCTATACACTCGAGAGCTGTTTTGTTTGATTAACAGAACTTTTCCCTTTCCATCTATTAGTATGGGGAAGAAGTGGACTCTAAAAATATTACTAATTGAATTTGAAGGAAAAAGAAAAAATAAAATCAGACTGTATCCATTGTTTTAACATGAACTCTAAAATGGGTTTCATGAAGGGTTAGAGATGTGTTGGCATAGAGGTTTTAAGCATGTTGAAGTACAACTGGATTGTGTGGAAGCGATTAATCTCCTTACTAGAGACCAGCATTTTCATCACTTTTTCTATCAGTTTTATATATAGGGAAAACAATGGTATAGAGACTAGTTTAACTAGGAAAGCTCATGACTTTAGCTCTGATTTTTGTATTTATTATCATTCCCCACCTCTTTAGTTGGAGGCGACAATTGATAAAAGATAATTGGTGTCTGTTTTTATTTCGTTCCTCTTATAATTATTTTTTCTTCCATTAGTGCATGAAAGTATTTCAGTTTTCATTAAAAAAAAAAAACAAGAAGAAGAAGGCTAAAAGAAAGTGATGATGAGAGATGGTTTATTTATGAGTACAGGTGGATGCAGAGATCTGTAGAGAGGAAGGTGATCCAAGAACGGCCTTATGTGATGCAGTAGTAAAGCATAATATTGATTTGCTTGTGTTGGGAGAGCGTGAGCTTGGAACAATAAAAAGGTATTTGATTCTTGTCCCATGCTCAATCTACATGAATCTTTTTTGTAAAAAAAATGAAAGCTAATGTCTTAGATTTTGATTTTATACAAAATTACATGGCACTAACAGCATGATGTTCATGCAGGGCTCTTATAGGAAGTGTGGGAAACTACTGTGTCCAAAATGCCAAATGCCCTGTCCTTGTGGTGAAGAAACCAGAGTAGTATTTTATATCTGCCACATTAACAGTGCAATATTAGCAGGAAACTTCTGGCTTTTGGTTGACTTGATCTTGTGATATTGTAATATGTACATCAGTACATAGTCATCTTGGATCTTATCATCCGGCTCTGGAAAGAGTGACAAAGATGAAAGTGTGTGCCTGGTTTTCTATCAACCAAAAATCAGTCTGTTAAAAGTTTATTTAACAAAAATTAATTTAGTAAAAGTTAGGTGCTGTAACAAAATTTCTATTTGAATGTATTTTTTTAAAAGTCAATTTAATAAATTGAACTTTATTTGGATATTATATGATGAAAAGTATATTTAAAAGTAATAAAAATGTATACATAATATAAAACTTGAAATATCTAAATTATAGAAAAAATATATATCTACATATTTTTATATCTTGTTTCAATTTTGAATTAGTTCTCTATAGTTTATTTTAAATTAGGCTTTTGTAACTTGAAAAGTAATTTTGTTTTGGTATTGATTGAAACCCATGGGGATTAATATATCTAATGGATCAAACAATAAGGTTTTAATTAAAACAAAATAGATTATAGGGACTTAATTCATAATTGATAAAATTATAAGATGGCACAGAAACCTCTCTCTAAACAAAGTTCTCTGTTTATTCTCTAATTTGATAATCGTACAAAGGAAATGACACGACTATTTATACTAAACCTTAGATCCAAAGACTTAAATGTTGAAAAAGGAGTTTCAGCTATTACATGAGCTATTACATGTGTTTATTACCCTATGAAAGTTATAAAGAATTATGGCATTCAAGGTTATCAATGGAGGAGTTACATTCAAGCATTCAAGGTTATCAATGGAGGAGTTACGTTCAGGCTTCTATTTCATCTTCCTTGTGTTCAGTGAAACTCGCCCTCAAGTCAAATTCAGCATTATCATTAATGTAAGGGGATAGATCAGCAACATTGAAGGTGGCAGACACTCCATAAGATCCAGGAAATTTCACCTTATAAGCATTATTGTTGATCTTTTACACAATCTTGAATGAACCAACAGCTCTTGGGGACAACTTGGCGTTTGACTGTTTAGGAAATCGTTCCTTTTATAGATATATCCAAACCAAGTCTCCTATCTTAAAAGTTTGCTATTTTCGATGCTTGTCACATTGAGCCTTGTATCTCAAATTCTGCTTTTGGATTCGCTCGCGGACTTGCTCATGCAACTTCTTAATTTTCTTAGCCTTATGGTCAACATCAGAGCTATATTGCTGTTTATCAAATGAAGGGGTCAAGTTTAGCGGACTAAGGGGATGAGTTCCATAAACAATTTGAACCGAACACTTTTCATTTGCTTGGTTGATAAAATTATTGTAAGCAAATTCAACTTGAGCAAGAATGAGATCCCACTGCTTCAAATTCTTCCCAGCGAAACTGCGAAGAAGATTACCAAGAAGCCTGTTTATATCTTTAGTTTGACCTTCTATCTGAGGATGACTAGTGCTGCTAAACTGGAGCTTAGTTCCCATCTTGTTCTATAGCGTCCGCTAAAAGTAGTGGAGAAACTTCACATCATAGTCAGAAGTGATAGTCTTGGGAATGCTGTGCAGATGCATAATCTCCTTAAAGTATAAGTTTGCTACTTGAACAACATCATTAGTCTTCTGACATGAAATGAAATGGGCCATTTTTTAGAAATGATCCACAATTATTATGACAGAATCTTTTTGCCTCTGAGTTTGTGGTAAACCCAAAACAAAATCCATAGTCACATCTTCCCAAGGTGCTTTTAGAATTGGCAAAAACATGTATAATCCAGTATTTTGACCCTTGAATTTGGCCAAGTGACAAATTCTGCATCTCTGTGTATGCCTGTTGACATCTTGTTCAAGTTAAGGCCAGTAAAAGTTCTCCTTGACTAGGCCAACTATTTCATCCCTTCTGAAATGTCCAGCTAATCTATCATCATGTACTTCCCAAATTATGGCTTCTCTCAAGGAACCTTGTGGAATACATAGGGTTTTGCCTCGAAATAGAAACCCGTCGTGTTTGTAGAATTGGTGGAAAGGTTGATTTACAGTTACTTCTCACACTCCTCAAAAATTAGGATCATCCTGATACAACTCTTTAACAAGGTCAAACCCAACAATTTTAATTTACAGTGTTGTGAGTAGCACATGTCGACGGCTAAGAGTATCAACAATGGAGTTTAAAGTTTTAGCCTTATGCTTGATAAGGAATGGATAAGATTGCAAGAGTTCACTCCAATGCATGTCAATAGCTGATCTTCTACTGAGAATTCAAATACTTGAGAGCCTCATGATCAGAAAAAAAAGTATGAATTCTTTATTCAAGAGAGAATGACTTTAATGTTGGAGAGCTCGAACAATGGCATAAAATTCTTTGTCATAGGTAGAATACCTAAGCTTGGCATCATTAAGCTTCTCACTGAAAAAGACAATGGGATGGCCTTCCTGGCTTAAGACAGTATTAATGTCGGTGTTAAAAGTATCATAACTAATTTCAAACACTTGGTCAAAATTAGGAAGAGCTAAGACTGGAGCTTTGATTAACTTCTTCTTAAGCTCTTCAAAGCTTTTCTGAACTTGCTCTGTCTACTAAAATTTCTCTCTTTTAGTGCAATCTGTAAGTAGTTTGGCAATAAAGCTAAAATTATGGATGAACCTCCTATAGAGAGAAGCTAATCCGTGGAAGCTTCGAACCTCCTGGATATATTTTAGAATTGGCTAGCTATCAATGGCTACAATTTTGCTTGGATTAACTCGAACATCCTCTACGATAATAATGTAACCTAAGAACACAACTTCACTAGTGAGGAAGGTGCACTTCTTGAGATTTGCATAAAGCTTTTATTCACGCAAGGCTTGCAAAACTTGTTGCAAGTGATCTAAATGTTCTTCTTGACTCTTGCTGTAAATAAGAATATCGTCAAAATACACAACAACAAATTTGCTAATGAAGGGTCTCAATACTTGATTTATCAGGAGCATAAATGTGCTAAGGGCATTTGTTAACCCAAAAGGCATCACATTCCATTCATATAAGCCATCTTTATTCTTGAAAGCGATCTTCCACTCATCTCCTAGTAGAATTCTGATTTAGTGGTGCCCACTATGAAGGTCAAGTTTGGAGAAGGTAGTGGCACCATACAACTGGTCTAGCATATCATCAAGCCGAGATATCAAAAACTGATACCTAATAGTGATCTTGTTGATGGCTCGGTAGTCAACGCACATTCTCTAACTCCCATCCTTCTTAGGTACTAGAAGAATAGGTACAGTACAAGGGCTAATACTTTCTCAAACCAACCCTTTCTTCAATAACTCTTCAACTTGCCGTTGGACTTCAGCATGTTCCTGGGGACTTATCCTATAAGCAAGCTTATTAGGAATGACTACTCCTGGAATGAAGTCAATGGCGTGCTGTATGTCTCACATAGGAGGTAACCTTGGTGGTATCTCATCAGATATTACATTTGGAAATTCTGACAGTATCAGAATGACTCCTGGTGGATTGGTTAACTTATTGTTCACCTTAAGCACCAGAATAAAGCTCATCATTTAGGCTTTAGACTTCATCACCTTGAATTCCTCCTTAGTCATCAAAAACACCAATGGCTTAGAGGCGCTAGATTCCCTCAAAGATTGGCTAATCTCACTGAGCGGTAGAGGTGCCAGTATGAACTTGACACCATCTTTCGTAAAAGAATAGGTGTTTGGTCACCTGTTATGCATAGCATGTCGATCATATTACCATGGACTCCCTAAGAGAAGGGGGCATGCATCCATAGGAACAACATCACATAAAACTTCATCACAATATCAGTTCCCAATAGAAAAGATCACAAGGCATTGTTTAAAAACTTTTACCTCATTCCCCTTATTGAGCCAGTAAAGCTTGTAAGGTTACGGATGATCTTGTGGTAACTTTAATTTTTTCACCATGTAGTCAGATACTACATTTTCACAACTTCTACTATCAATGATGACATTACAATAGGCTGTGCAATGAGTGATGTTGCGTCATAGCTAAGGTTCTTCTTTGACTATAATTGTATGCAAACTTTATCTAACCACCAATGCTTCTCCCTGATCAGCAAGCGTGACCTCCTCGTCATATATGGGATCAGTGTCGTAGAACTCAATATCCCCCTTATCTTCTTTAAGTGCTTCATACTTTGGTCCTTCCCTAATGGTGACAACCCTCTAAGTAGTACAGTTCGTAGTAATATGGCCAAATTCTTGGCATTTAAAGCATTTGATTGCTTTAGAGCTAGATTCCTTGGTAGCATTGGGTGGTGGTTTGCGCATAGCAGTAGATTGTGGCTTGCTTGAGGAGTTGGTTTACTAAAATTTTACCTTACAGGATTTTGGATAACCCTTAGAGGAAGAAGGTTAGAAAGAGGACCTCTTAGGTGTTTGCTTCTCAACACGCATGGTTAGACGGATGACATCATCCAAGGTCCAATACTGCTGAAGCTGGAATGGAAGACTAATATCTATGTTTAAGCCTGCAAGGTACTGGGCTATTGTTTGCTCCTCCTTCTCCTGCATGTCACACTTCATCATGAGTTGTTCAAATTTCTTAGTATATTCTTTTATAGATAAAGATCTCTGTTAAAGATTTTGTAGCTGGATAAAATTATCCTAGTGGTAATGATCTGGTAGAAATTTTTTAGTGACTTGGCGTTTCATTTTCTCTCAAGTCTCAATCTTGCACTTTTCCTCATGTTCTCGCTTTCGTCTGAGGTTTTTCTACCAAATGGAAGCATGTTTCTTGAATTTGAGGGCGACAATCTTGACTTTCTATACATCTGGAATCTCTTTATATTCAAATACTAGTTCAACAGTCTGAAGCCAGTCTAAAAAATAGTCTTGCTAGAGTTTTCTCTCGAATTCAGGAATGGCTACCTTGATATCATTGGGGCAAAATTGTTATTGTCGTGGATGACGGCAGTTGTCAATGGATGATGAACTACTATTTCCTGAATCTCCCTTTAAGTTTTCTCTGTTATTGTTTAATAGAGTTCGCTGCATTTTCACAATGGCTTCCAACTCTCATATCCTATGTCTCATCTCTTCCGTCTCAACCTCGTGCACATGCCTACGTCTTGGAGGCATTTTGATAAGTATCAAGGCCAGGGATATTGGAAAGATTGAGGTATAAAATGGAAACCTTGAAAGGATATAGGGGTAGAATGGGACTTTTGGAAAGTATAGGGGCAAAATGAAAATTTTGGACAGTCTAAGGGTACAAATGGAGATTCTAGAAGTATGGGGGTCAAATTATAATTTATGAAAAATATAGGGGTCAAAATGAAATTTAGGTAAAATTAAAAGGCAAAAGTGTCATTTTAGGAAAGATTAGGGGTCAAATGGAATTTCAAAAAAATTAGGGTGATTATGAAATTTCATAAATTTAAGGGGTTAATATAAAATTATGGAAAGATTTGGGGCAAAAATATAATTTCAAGAAATATGGCTAACTGGGTAGGGTGACGTGGCAATTGTGACACGTGGCTAGAAATGATTGGGCTGACCTGTCGTTGACCAGTCAGATCAATGACATGGTAAATGACGTCATCGTTTTCTACCTTCGGTTGGGGCGTGCAGCGCGTGGGAAGACAGCGATAGCGCGTGGGCTTCAGGCGACGGCTCGTGGAGGTGTGTGAAGACGATTCTGATGACATGGAACCTCCTATTCAACATTTTTGGACCTCCTAAGCATGATAGTGGCATTAGTTTCTGGAAAAACATTCAAAATGTAGGATTCAAACAAGTCAGGGACTTCTCCTTTGAGCTTCTCTCCTCTCCAATGTAGTTCCTCAACTCTACCTCACTCTTTCGCTCTTTGGACTAGCTTTAATACCAAAATGGCACAGAAACCACTCTCTGAACAAAGTTCTCTGTTTATTCTCTAATTTGATAATCTTATAAAGGAAATGACATGACCATTTATACTAAACCTTAGACCCAAAGACTTAAATGCTAAAGAAGGAGTTTTAACTGTTACATGAGCCATTACATGTGTTTATTAGCCTATGAAAGTTACATAGAATAATGGCATTCAAGGTTATCAATGGAGGAGTTACGTTTAGGCATTCAAAGTTATCAATGGAGGAGTTACATTTAGGCTTCTGTTTCATAAGAACT